GAGTATGATGCTCTGTTTTGAGAGTCACGCTTCTGCACTGTTTGCAAGATCGCTGCCCCTGGCGACCACTCAGTCTAATGCTCCATCTGTAATCACGTTCTAGAAAACGCAGAGTCCCAGCTGACGAGCAACAGCTCTGCGAGTCAGATACACAACTGGCTTGTTCAGCCTGGGGTGCCAGGCACAGACTCGCCCCCAGACCTCAACCCGCCCACCTGCCATCCAGGGTCCCAGCAGCCCCAGGCTGCCCTGGCACCTGCTGGCCGCATCGCCCTCCCCCAAACCTGCGGAGTCCTCCCCCCTGACCTGAGGGGCCCTCCCCCATGACCTGGGAAGCCCTCCCCCCCACCTGAGGAGCCCTCCTCCCCAACCTGAAGAACCTTCCCCCCAACCTAGGGAGCCCTCCCCTCCGACCTAGGGAGCCCTCCTCCCACGACCTGGGGAGCCCTCTCCTCCCAACTGGGGAACCCTCTCCCCCCACCTGGGGAGCCCTCCCTGCTGACCTGGAAGCTCCTGCACTGACAGCATTGGCCACTTTACGTGCCTGCACCCCACCACCCTCTGGGCTTCTCGGGGGGCAGGGAAGACTCTTATCCATCCGGAACCCCCAGGGCTCAGGGCCTAGCTCCCAGCAGGCGGCTCCAGTTAGCAGGGTGACGAGGACGGACAGACACCCTGGTGCTGCACCACCTCTCCTCCCACATTCCCGCATCCTGCCTCTCGCACTGGTGCGTGCTCAGTGCCGCGGCCCACGCCCTGAACCCACGTGGCCCCGGCCCCCGCAGCCAGCGGGCACGTCGCCAGGCCGCTGAGGTGCGTCCTACGCAGGTGGCTATGAAAGCACGTACCGCCAGGCTGCGTGAGGAGATCTCTGCCCTGTAGCTCCGGACATCCTCTAAGTCCAGGGTGGCCGTGAGGACTTCCTGGGGGGTAGTACAGAGAAAAGCTGTGACTTCCTGTGCGCCCCACTCCCATGTGTCGAGGGGTGTGCCCACTGCACAAGAGCAAGTCCGCCTACTAGAGCAGGGGCTGCGAGGCTG